TTTGTCGTTATTGGGAAAAATGGGTACGCGGGGTGGGGGTTTGGTGGGTAGGGTAGGGTAGGGGTAAGGGGTAAGGTACGAGGATGGAGGTATCGGAATGGAATCGACATCGGAGCGGGACCGGACCCACCACTAGGTGTAAGTATGCAAATTCATTGCAAAGGCACGGTAACATCTGCGTTTTCCAAATTTGGAAAACTAGTAAAAATCACTTCTCCAAATCATTAAGGAAAAGAGAGACATGTTTCATTTTTTCCGTTTTGGAAAACGATTTGGTAAACGCGTTTTTCTTTTTTCCGTTCTCCAGTTTTCCAGGAATTTCTTTGGTAAACACGTTTCCTGTTTTCTGTTTTCCAGTTTTCCAGTTTTCTGGAAAACTGGAAAATATTTCTGTTAGTAAACAGGCCCTTAGTTTTCTTATTCTTAAAATTTTAGAAATGATCGATATTTTATCAAGACCAAGTGCAATAGTGCAATGAGTAACAAAAGGTTTCCAGCTAGATAAAGAACTAACACGAAACTATAGTTTTGAAACAAAATTGAAATACCAAAAGCTCATAGTTAAATTTTGGAAATAAAATTGCAAGACATGTGAGGAACAACTATCTTCAGAATATGTTAAAGTTAATTAGAGTACACAGATCAAAGAGTCTTTATTTTCTAATATGGAATGCATAAGTTAACTCAAAGAAGGGTTTGGTAATTTTTTTTATTCCTTACGCATAAAGTAGTCTTTTTAGAAAAGCAATCTTTTGAGTTGCTTTCCTATTTTTCAAAGATCTACAAGTCTAAAACAAATAAAAATAAATGAATCAAAGGCGTAATAATCATAAAGAATGTTCAATAAAATAGAAAAAAATGTTGTAGAAATTGCCCTGAATAGGAGTAAAAACGTTTTGAGATTCCAAAATAGTACCTTATGTTTTTATTCACTAAATAGGAGTAATTTCTGCAATGTTTGAAAAAAACTGCCATGTTTAAAGCCGGGCAATGCCAAACTTGGCAAAAATTAATCCTATTTATGGAATAAAAACATGGTGGCAGTCCTATTTTGGAATTTTAAAACTTTTTTACTCCTATTTAAGGAATTTTCCCAAAATGTTACTGTATGGAAAATTCCAAAATCATTGTATGAGGAAAAACCAGAGTAGATGATTAACTTGGAACATGTGGTACTTTGTCCAATGGAACAAATTGATTTCTCAATCTGAACCAGAATCTGAAGCAAAAAAAACCTGTGAAGGTCAATTCGAACAACCTCTAAGTAGCAATAGAAAAAACAAACAAAATCGATTTCAACATTGAAAAAAGCACGATAGAGAAAGAGAAAATGTTCTGGGAAGAAGAATAAGATTTTACTGGAATAATATACGGAGAAACGATCAACTTTGAAGGAAGAAACAATCTCTTTTTTCGGATGATTTTCACTCAAATGACTTCGGGTAGATGAAGAGCCATATCCTTTTTTCTGATAATTTCATGGCAAATGACTCCTGATAGATTTCTGCAGATAAGTATCTTCTTTTTGAGAAATTCATGTTGTTGACGACACCAACAAACTTGAGGAACTCCGATTTGGGAAGAAGAAAGGAGGAAGGAAAATAAGTCGAAGAAAAAAGTAGAAGTCGCGAGTTGAAAGAGTATTGGAAACGAAAGGGAAAGGTGGAAGTAAAAGATCGGAAGAAGAGCTGTAATGACTTACAAAGTAAAGAGATAGGCGGAAGAAGATGGACAGATGCGTCAAAAGAAAAGAGAATTACAAAGGAAAGAGATCGATGATGTTATAAAGCGAAAGGTTAAGATCTTTTTAGATGAACGGTGCAGATGCATTTGTATTGCTATTAAGTATAAGGATTACAAATTTAAATTGTTTTTAGTCAATTGCACTTCTCTTATTGATTCTTGATTTGTGTCGGTTTCAATCCATTTTGACATTTTTATCCACTTTTAGTTATTGTCAATTTCGGTCTATTTTCAACTTAGGGTCGGTTTACTAAAAGAAATATTTTTCAGTTTTCTGGGAAAAGAAGAAAACAGAAAGTGTGATTACCAAAAACATTGTTGGAAAACTGGAGAAAGAAAAACAGAAAAATAAGTGCACCACCGGCGGGTCTAGAAGTCCTCAATCAACTCATGGCGGTAGAGCCGTCAAAATGAGCAGAAACTCGCGGGCCGACCCGTTTAAACCCATTTATTTGTGGGTTAGGATTGTGAATTTCTGACCCATTTAGTTCGCGGGTTTATGTGGGTTGACCCAACGGGTTGCAGGTTTAAGTGGGTTGGCCCAACGGGTTGCGGGTTGGTCCACGGGTCAATATACAAACATATAGTTTTGTCTTTTATTATCTTCAACTAGTGTGTACTCGCGCAAGGCGCGAAAATATTTGTCCAATCTATATATATACTAGCGGAGTACGCACTACGTGCGAATGATGCCCAAAAATTGTATTTATTCAAAACATTTTATAGGTCAAAACTTTAAAAATTGCCTTGAAAGTATTTATTCATTATGTGAATAAAAGTAATAGTTCATAACAACAAAACAGTGGGTTAGCCACAACCAAAGTTATTTGAATTTTCTTATGGATTTTGCATGTAGGATTTGTTAGATTTCTTGAATGATAAGTCTGCTCAATATTTAGGGCTTTTGCCTTCAATATTACTAAATTAAAGCCACTTTTCTAAAATGTGACCTTTTTTCGAAAAGACAAAAAAGTGACTAAGAAGGTCACTACCGGTGTCACTGTAGCCACCGCTCATGTCACTGTAGACACTTCCCGTGTCACTGTAGCCACCGCATGTGTCACTGTAGCCACCGCATGTGTCACTGTAGCCACCGCATGTGTCACTGTAGCCATCACATGTGTCACTGTAATCACCGCCCATGTCACTCTAGACACTGCCGTGTCACTTTAGCCGTCACCGGACAAAGTGACTGGCCGCCAACTCCGTCCACCGCCGCCACTTTTCGGCCACCCCTCCCCAGCCCGCAAACCCCCTCCATAGTCGTCATGACACCGCCGCCACAATGGCAACTGCAGTGACCGCCACCTAGCCCCACCACCCACAGCCCCCGACGACCACCGGCCCACGCCCCAGCACTCCAAACATGTCCACCACTCCTAATCCATTCCACCAGCACAGGTGCCCACTGCCCCCGCCTGCACCCTCCCCAGCTAGCCCCAACCTCTACCCTCCCCTCCGGCCACCACCTCCGGCCACAGTCGGCGACGACTACATCCCACAACCAGAGCCTATCCCCTCCCCTGTGTCTCCGCAGCCAGCATCCACCAACCCCCACAATCCCCTCCGACCCCCCTTCCACCTCCCCACCCCCCAATCTCCCTCCCCAACCCCAGCCCAACCGTTAGCTCCACCACCCCATCTCTATCACCCCAGTCTCATCTCCTCTTCCATTTCACCCAAATCCCGGACCACCGCTGCCCCACCACTCCTCCAGCCGTTGCAGATCTGGAAAGTAGGAAACAGAGAAGGTCTATGCAGAGGTCCAGACCACGTAGCTTCAAGCAATATGTCTTCAAATCAGATTCGATGCTCAGAAGGCAGATCCGAAATTGCCGCCCTCAAATCTTAGTTATCGTCCATGGGAGGGGCGACCAGAAGGACAATGGAGAACATATCGATGTTGTTTCCGTCGAAGAAGCTGAGGGCGGAGGTTTAACGTCCTGCCATCGGAGAAGGTAGATAGTGCCGGAACTGGAGGTTGCGCGATGAAGGCGAAGGGCGGAAGAGATGACGATGAAGACTCCCAAGAGATAAGATGAAGGTTGTAGCTAAATTGGGGAAGTGAAGGTTGGGAACGGAAGGTTAGCGTAACAAATAGGAAGAGGAGCGGGTCACATTTATGACTTTTTAAATTGTGGTCATATTTTTATCCAACACAAGTTGAGAAGTAATATTTATACTATTGATTCATTGTGTTATGATTCAATGCCTTCCTCCACAAAGAGCTTCCTTTTAGCTTTCGGGGAACTTGCAAGTCAATCATCCCCATTGTGAAGATGATTGGCTATGACCTAAAGACATATTATTTGAATAGGAGATTATCATTGTATTGAATAAGTAAAAAAACATTTTAAATTTTAGACTTGCTGCTCATAAACGGGTAAAATGTACATGTTGACTCCGGATCGTATATATGGCGCAACAAATGGCTATACATATTGATTTGTTGAGAATCTGAACTCCACGGTGCTCCTTTCTAATCCACTTAATCGAGCTTGATAAAGTATTCATATCTACGAATGCCCAGCCATTTACGAATGTCCGGCCAAATACCTGCAGAATAAGGGCAAGCAAAGCAAACAAAGAAAACAAATATTTCCAAGATTCCAAATACTCCAGGTTGTCCAGAGTAGCTAGTGTGTTCCTAAACACCAGCCACATGATTAAAGAGCCACGTGATGAAAGAGTATTTAGGTGGGATGAAATGGTCTCCAAATGAACGGCATCCAGGTTCTCTCACACCTTTCTTCCTCAAAATATCATAAACTTTCGCCAAAGACAGTCTGCCATTAGTGCAAAGTCTCTCTAAGCCTCTTGTTGTTTCCCTATGTAATATAAAAAATGTGTAACTAAAGCTGGTATTTTAAAGTTCTATTTGAAAAAAAGTGGCTTGTTTATCTGGATCTTGTGACTTTTGAGATATTATTGTACACGAAACCCGCAATAGGGAATTTGCTTTGAAGTAACTTTACCCTAAATTTGTTAATAACTAAAGCTGGTGTTGAGGTATATTACCCCGGTCCGTTACTGTTCAGGAGCCCAAGGCATCGCCCCAGCTTGGAGCCCGAATGACAAGGTCCATTTCAGCCTATTAGGCATGTTTCGGCCCTTTGGGCCCATTTTGGGCTTACTTGGCCCATTAGGTTAGGTTTCCCCCTTTCCCTTACCCCTATAAATATGGGGCTTTCCCACATGTTTAGGGATCTCTTTCCTTCTTCCTCCTTCTCACTAGAATAGCTTAGAACTCCATTAATGGGAGCTTCAATACTTGTACTATGTAATGGGAGGAGAGTCCTAATGAGAAAGAGAGGGCTTGGACATTAGCCTAAAAAGTCCCGTGGTTTTCTCCCTTTCGGGTTTCCACGTAAAAACTGAGTGTTCATACATATATTAACTATATCGTGTTGGATTAAACTCAACACTGGCGCCGTCTGTGGGAATCAGTTCAAAAAGTTTAAGCGTGTTCTGGATTTTTCTACGAAAAACCTGAGGCGGAGAACTGATTTCAACAAAAAAGTGATACAAAACTGAACTGGTATCAGCCAGAAAAGGAAGAAAAATTCTACAAATATGATCATGTGAAGTACTGGAATCGCAGTAGAGGAAGTGGGGGAATAATCCCCTTTTGGGTAAAAATTATGCGCCATAAGCTCGGCTGGCAGCTCCTACCAGCGAGTCCCCCACCTGTGGCCACCTTGATAGCCACCTGGAAATTTGCACGAGGAAGAAGTAGCTCCGCAACCACCAGAGCCTTTTCTTAGCAAGAGGGAAGAAAGCAATTGAGGGCTACGTTTGCTGTCATTTCGTAGCAACTGTAACCTGACAAAGATGGGTTGAGGAATGACCAGTGGGGTCATGGTTGACCAACCTAGCTGCCTACACCGCACCGTGCGTCCCCACAGCAACCGTTTACTCAACTGTCCAAGCATGGTGACGAGCATGAAACAACAAGCCCGAGCTGAAGCGGAACCATAAGGACGTTCAGAACACTCCATCTGGACGGCCATGCACCTGGCCAGAGCAGCCCGCACGTCTCCAAACTTGATCGTGTCCTCGCCGCCCGGCACTACATGATCGCCGCTCGTCTTCCCTACAGGAATACCCACCATGTATGCATACCCAGTTTTCCATGCCGCCCATCGCCACCGAATTACAAACTGAAGACACCTTTTGAAGTCCAACCGCTCATTGCCGTCCCATCCTCAGATGTAGAGCCACCGAACCGGAAAAAGAAAAAAAAAATCGGAGGACGCACGGGATCCGGCACCTCAGCGCCTGGCAAACCACGATGTACGATCTTAAGAACTCTGTAAACGCCGCCCAGCCTCAGACCTACTCTGCTTCGGCCACTACTTGGCCCCACCGCCTAGTCTGGGTTAGCAGATCTGACTCGAACACCCACCGTCGGTCAACCTTTGCGGCCTTTTCTTATTCGCAGCCCGTCCCGTGATCACTCCACCGCACGGTCACACAACCCAGTTTCGGACGCCCGGCTTCTGATTTTGCTCAGACCGGTTGGGGGATCACGCATTCCGTTCAGGCTCCACGGTTGACCGGCCCTTCGCCATCCAGGGTTGGAAAGCTCTTGAGAGGAATGGATGGCCGCACAAATTTTGACGCTCGGTTATGGAACCAGTGGACGTTCGTGGCTAAGGTGTTGACAGGCAGAGGTTTAGAAGGGAATGGATTGGCCATGTGGGTTGATTAGGTACCCTCCAACTCTCCAAATTGAATGACGCCTTTAGAAAGAAATTTCAAATGGATGCTATTACTCTGGGCGAACGTCCAAAGCAGTGAGTTTCCCAAATTGAGGCTACAGAAAATCCCAACCGACCGAACGTCTATCTCCAAAAGATAAGTACCTCATACGGTACATTTAAACTTTGATAGTCAATGGTATTATTATTACTAGTATTTTTTATCACCATTATTTAATAGGGATTAAAATGTCCCGAAATAAATAATGTCGAGCGAAGCTCGGGGATGAGCTTCCATCAGGTTTTTAATTTAATAATTTGGAGATCAGCCGGGTCGAGGGTCATCGTACCCCAATGTGGACGCTCATATCCGGAAGAACTAGGTGATGGGCCGGGCCGGGCCGAGGGTCATCGCACTCCGAGGCCGACCGTCATGCCCGGAAGAGCCCCAAGCCGACCTACAAAAAAAAAGTGTGCACATATACATATTGTCTAACCATTTGGCCGCGTTACTATGTTCATTGTGCAGATTAAGATCATAGTCAGATAAGAGATGATGCTCAAAATGATTTTATTGATTCCTATACATGATTTTGTGTGTGCATTCTCCTTTTTTGCCAATATGTTTATACAATTAATAGATTGTAAATGTTATTTTCAATACCTTAAATGTTAAAAAACACATGAAATAGATTATTACTTCAATCATTAAGTTTGTGCATAGTCAAGTCATCATCTGTATTTTTTGATATTGTGTGAATGGTTAAAGCATTGTTTGTTTGCTCATTTGCTATTGTCTGTGAATGGTAAAAGCATTGTCTATTTGTTCATTTTATATTGTCTGTGAATGACTAAATTATTGTCTGTTTGTTCACTTACGCAGTTAAATCATATTGTTTTAACCAATTATATTGTTTAACAACAATATTATTATCAATTTAATAAACGAACACATGAACGATTTCCATTCATTTTCTCCAAATCCAATAAGGTTCAATACAAATTACATATAAGCTTCACAATTTAACTTTCCAATGAATTTCATATGTTTTTTTATAAATAGGAGCTTTGAGATGCTTGTATGGTATATATGTACTGATATAAATATTTGATATATACTACAGATTTGGGAGTCGATTGGAGCTCCAAAAGGCAGACATGCCGATGAAGGCTTTTACTATCTTTGTTTGTTAATTAGTTCAAGATGGGAAACTCCAAAAAGAAGACACAATGATGAAAGACCAAATTTAGTCAACACATTAACATAATTTTCTAATTTAAATGGTGGTGTATGTTTAGCTTTGGAAATCTGTGATTTGTAGTAGTGGTAGCTATGTATAATCATTGTACGAGATTCCTTAGAGATAAAAAGAATTCTGTGTTATATAAGTGTTATTAGTGGAGGAGATCAGACATTTTATGTCATTGTTGTGAATGTATGGGTGTGATTAAAGCATTTTCTGTGTGTTTATTTATTTATTTATTTATTTATTTATTTATTTATTTATTTATTTATTTATTTATTTATTTATTTATTTATTTATTTATTTATTTATTTATTTATTTATTTATTTATTTATTTATTTATTTATTTATTTATTTATTTATTTATTTATTTATTTATTTATTTATTTATTTATTTATTTATTTATTTATTTATTTATTTATTTATTTATTTATTTATTTATTTATTTATTTATTTATTTATTTATTTATTTATTTATTTATTTATTTATTTATTTATTTATTTATTTATTTATTTATTTATTTATTTATTTATTTATTTATTTATTTATTTATTTATTTATTTATTTATTTATTTATTTATTTATTTATTTATTTATTTATTTATTTTGTCTGTGTGTATACAAAAACTGTTGTTTGTGTGCTCGTTTATTTATTTACCATTTGGGTGAATCTTTCTGGTTTGAATATGCAGGGGATCCTAATGACATGATTAATTGCAGTGCTTTAGATTTAAATTTTATTTTCATGTAAATGTCCATGCATGTATTTTCACAGACATTTATGTATAAACACACAAACAAAGTCTTTGGTCTTCACAGACACAAAATGTTTTTCTGGGAGATATTAATGTCTGGGAGTTATTAAATTACATAAAGTAGTTATTAAAAATATCTTAAGTGGATGTAAGAGCGCATACATAGCACAGACAACTACGACACAAATCACAGACAAAGTCGTATTACAACACAAACAAGTTGTTTCTTCTTCACAGGCAAAGGCATCCCTCATATATATATTAACACCATAAACAGCAAGTGTTTGCCACAAAAACAAAAAGGCATACCAATTCAGGTAATATTTGGGAGTACATTCATTGGACAACATTGTTAGTGTAACATTGTACAACCTCCTACATTTAACAACCAAACCCATGGTGGCAAAAAATGAGCACAAAAAAATGTATATAGTAACTTTAGTAAGGTTACATCATTGTTTTATAATCAAACTCATCCTACACTAAACATGTTCCTCAAAGTAGTCTAAGAGTCTCATTGTCTAAGTGGATGTTCCTCAAAGTCCAGAGCCTCATTGCAAATTCATATCTTTTCGGTGCCACATTCTCATATGCACACTCGGGCTGCAATGGCAAGATACATTCCAGGAGAGGTATAAATCGATGGAACCCAAACCAAGCATCCCAGCACATATAAAAACCAGCTACAAAGACAAAAGCCAACATGCATGCCACAAGAAGAACTTTGTTATGTACACCTACATCAGTACAATATTCACAACCATGGAATCATCAACTTTTCCATATTCTTAGTACCGGGAAGTCCATGATGAACAAACATTAAAAAAACATGATCAATTTTCAATCATCTGCTTTATAAATATGATTTCAAGTTCATTGATATCCGGTCACTAGGGTGAAGTAATCTTCAAGAAATATGCAACAAGCATGTACCACATCACCAAAAGTACCTAAGATAACTAAAAAGATATAAAAAGTTTAGATGTGAAATAAATAGGCAACTTTTTATAAAAAGTCAGATGTGAAAAATGTTTACTTTATATCATTGTCAAGGATAGTTTAGACGTTTCACCTGTTTTATGCAGTAAGTGACATCTAGAACTGCCCAAGACATCATGCCAAATCTGCAGTTTGTGAAAACTTTGATATCAAAGTTTGATATCAAACTTTGCCAATATGAGGATATATTTCCATCCCCTGCATTTAAAAAATATAGGGCCTTCAAATTACATTATTATTAAAATAATAATATACAGTTTCTTCCAATTAGGCAATTACTTCATTAGTACTTCGATAGGTTCTTTTATAAGTTCTGTGTTTAGGTATTCTGTCAATTCACTTTTGTTGTAATAAGAGAATAACTATGAATAGAATCAATGAAGAAAGGAAACATGAGTAAGGTAATAATACATACTAGTAATAAACTTGACAAAGCAGCAAACAGTGGCAGCTAGATCGTGAACTCAAACAAGCTTACCCAGTAGAAGTCAACAATTATGTTTCCTAATGAACCAGAATCAGAGGAAGATGGTGCAACATGACCCTATTATATCAGACATATGTTAAGTCACACAGACAAGCATTCAGCTAGATACAGACAAAGAATCAGTCACACAGACAATCATATTACTCACACAGACATATGTAGAGTCATACAGACAATCATATAAGTCTCCACAGACAAATGGAGCCACAACCAATTACATATACTCATACAGACAAATAACTAGACAAATCTATCTTCACACAAACAATACATATGTACTTCAAAATGCATAAAATTAACTTTACACAGACAATACTAGAAAGTAATGACATATCTCCAAACAAATGTATATTGTTCAAAATCCAAGCACTAGATGGGTCCAAAACTTCATACACAAAAATATTTTCTGAACCCTCCAAATAAACATCATAAATTGCCGAAAATGTTAAAAAATCCAATGATAGAGGATACATACCTTTTGTCCAGGGAAGAAAGCGAGGTTCACACCATCTTTGACTGAGACGAAATCAACGGCTTCGATGGGAGGTTCGCACCTTGGAGTGCGCAGCGACGATGGTCTCCTTGGACGGAGGTTGGCGGGGAGGAGGTTGCCTTCGATGGGGGGTTGTCGGGGAAGAGGGTTGGCTTTGTCGGGTGTTGGCGGCGACGAACAGCTACCAGCGACGACCAGCGACGGTGATTAATCAGAAGACCAAAGCAAAATTGATAGGAGGAAGAAGGGGAAGGTTGCGGTCGTTCGAAGGAAGGGAGAAGGTGGGGATGAGCGAAAAATTTGGGAGGCAGAGTAGTGTCGTACATGTGAATTGGAAGAGGTGAGGGAGTAAGGGAGGGGGTAAATTATTTTTAGGGATATTTATAGTGTGTATGTGTGTGTATAAAATTTGTGTAACAATAGAGTTTTTGTAAATTTATTTATTCTTTAATGACTGCAAACTCTCCTTTCAAGGTCTTTTTGGAGAATGTCAATTAGCAGTAGAATGAAACAGAAAACTGAACTATAGAGTGAAAATCTGCTTCTTTACTCATAGTCTTTTTGTTCAGTTAGTAATGTTCTTACTAAGCCCGCCTTTAATTCAATTCAGGAGCATCAAACCAAAATATATTTACTTATTTGTTAATGTTGAGGTAATTTACTAAAGGAAGATATTATCTTTGATATCCCCCTTTAAGGCTTTGCATTTTCAATGTTCTCATGTAACTTCTAACATATTCCATACGGAAGACTCTCATTGGGGAGGATAGGCTGGTCCATTTGTATGGTTAGGGGAAGAACTTGATAGACCTGAGTGTGCATTGAGTTTCTCTAATAAATATATCTCATCCGAGCTACTAGAAAAGAGTCTAAAATTGCTCCTTTGACACATTTAAATGCATTCCTGAAACACAGTTTTGTATTTATGGATGGGGTCTTAAATCATCTTTCAATATTGAATGAATCATTCTATTGGTGCTACTACCTATGAGGTAGATACTTAACATTCATACTAATATCTGTACATATTTCATGGCATTTATGCATATAAGTCCCTTAGCACCAATATAAGTAAAAGTAGGTTGATACTTGATATTGTCCTGAAGATGTTTTTATTGAATGATTTCTTTGTGATCTTTGCTAGAGTGGTAACCACATATCCTAATTTTATGCGGTATGGTTCTTAGAACTCATAATGATGATCTACTTGGTATGTAAGGTGTACTATCATTTACAGTGTGAATTTCTGACATGATTTTAGACTTTTCATTTATCACCCATCATATTATACATGTCAGGATGTTTTTAGCCTTCTTTTATATCTATATATTCGTCCAAAAATAAAATTCTTTTTTGGCAGCTCATTGTGGGTGCTCCTCCTACGATAGATAAGTAAAAACAATGACGGGTAAATGTGCTGGCAGATTGTCCAGTGTGCAGCGAAGCGGAGGAGAATGTTTTACATCTTTTTTGTAATCGTCCAGAAACTAGAGAAATCTGATCTAAGTTACGCACTCAGTTAGTGCGGCCAGTTGTTTCTTTTGCTAAGTGGATACAAGTTATGTTTGAGAAGCTAATAGAGGAGGATTTTTGCAGATTTATAGTGTGAAAGAATGCAGATTTTTGCATTAGGAATGTGATAGTAGTGGGACCTGCAGCTTTGGGAGGTTGGCGTGAAGCACAACTACAGAGACAAATAACAGGGAACGCAAATCATGAGGGAGCAAAGTGGGGGAAACTGGGAGTTGGGTGGATTAAAGTAAACGTGGATGCTGCAATCAATCAACAGACGGGAGTTAGAGCTTGGGTATGGATTGCACAGGATGGGAATGAACAGTTTATTCATGTCCAACAGGGGCGCGGGGAGTACGTGAAGCAATGTTATGGGCAAAGGAGAAAGGTTGGTCATGTAAGGTTGTTGAAACATATGCTTTGTTAGTGGTGTGATGAGTGTTTTCTCGCACTTAAAATGGTTGTAGAAAAGTGGTGTAAAGTACGAGTATCGTCTCCACAGGGACGGACAAAAGGGAATTAAAGATTAACTAAATTCAGCGATTAAAAAGAAATAAAATAAATAAATGCAAGTGTGCGAGATTGATTGGTGAATTAAAATTAAACTAATGCAGATGAACGATTAAAATAAAAGTGGTTTCTTCTCAATTAACGACGAAGGGAACAGGGATTGATTCCGGGGTAACTAGATTTCTGGCAGATTAGGCCTAATTTACATGAATTTAATTTAATTGAGCCTAGCTAATCATTACTAAGTTCTTACCGCTCTCGCGGCGTAGAGTACAATAATTTAGGGGACCAGGCTGATCTCTCATGCGACACGATCCTAAATTATTGCCAAGACGAGCGAGCTTACGGCCCCTTAATCGCTACTAATCTCTTAGCGAACGATTAAGTGTGTGTGAATGTGTCCTAGAACAAATTAGATCTCTCTTAATTTATTCTATAAGCAATTGTAATTCT